CACGGCGCCTGTCGGCTCACACCCCGCGGGCTCGGCGTGGGCAGGCGCTTACGTACATGGCCACCATCTCGGCCATCATCGCCGAGGACGGTGTGCAGGGCCTTTTCCTGCGCGGCCTCGGCACCAAGCTCCTCTCGCCCTAGAAGCGGGAGACGTATTCATGTCTCCCAACCAGCACTCGAGAGGACACGCGCTCAACTGTCGTCCGCCCTCATGTCGTATTCGCTGTCCTCGCACCCCTCGTGTTCACGCACTGCTCTGAGTACGCTGCACGAGGCCGTCCTCCCGCCCCGAGGCTGGCGTCTTCACGCCCTAGGCTCCTCACGAACGGCGTCTCGGCGATGCTCTTCAGCGTCCTGTGGAAGTACTTCGAGCAGTTGCTCACCGCCAAGAAGGAGGACCCCAAGAAGGGCCAGTAGGCGCGCCGCCAAACGCCTGGTGGCGGCCACGCCGGCGGGCGGCGGTGCGCCCGAGGAGTCTGCGTCCGCACAGAGCGCTGGTGGCTAGCTGCCCTCTTCCCGCCTTCCTCCCTCCTCGCTGGCTGCCTCTTCCCGCCCTCCTCCCTCCTCGTACGCATCTCTACCTGCTCCCCCATACGTGAACCATGCTATATTGTGTGCGGTGTGCGCCCGCCGTGCGGGAGTGGGGCGGCCGGGTTGCGGCCCCGCTGGGGCGCACGCACCGCGCAGCGCCGAGACTGCACGCAGACTCTGTGGGAAGGGATCCCACCCACGTCGTTTATTCTGTTAATTGGCCGCCGGAGTTGCGGAGAGAATATTTCGATTGACGATTCTCGCACCGCCCAACCAAGTGCTGGCCTGCTGGCACCTGGCAGACCTCACAATCGAGGACGAGGTGGTCGTGGGGCCCGCACCTCCGCCCGCGGCCGCATTGCCAAGCCGCCGATGTGCGCGAGTGCGGCTGCAGCAAATGATAGGAGCTGCACGACAAGTGTCTGTGTACTGTAAGAGCCCGGGGGCGCGGCGTGTGGGGGTCAGTTGTGAATGTGAGCTGAGTGTGCTTACTAGTTACTTTTTATCTTAACCCTCCCTCGTTCACTTAACCCTCCCTCACCCTCCCTCTGGCGCCAAGTGTTCTAGCGCTCCCCTAGAGTGTTCAGGACCACCCTAGTGGGTATGAGGGTGTTGGCCTGGCTGCTGGTGCAAACACAGAGCGATAGGGTGGCCCATGGAGGCCGCCGTCACCAAGGGTTAAATACCCACGGGGAGGCCCCCACGAGCTTGCCTCGACGCCTCACCCTCCCTTCCACCGCAAGTGTTTCAGAGCACCCCGAGGCATCTGGGGCTACTGGGGAGCATTGGTCTGTGTAATTTGATGCTGTTGAGTTCACACAGAGGTAAGGTGGCTCAAGAAGAAGCCACCCGCCCGACACGAGAAGGCTCCGGGCCAGCCCCTCTGACAGCTCTCTCGGGCTGCGCGGACACACAATCATCCAGAGACCGGAGGGAGCATGCTGTCACAATAGCCGACATGGTCCCAGCCTCCCTCTGCCACAGGCTTCCTGCACTTCACACAGAGATTGACCTTGCACGCGACGCAGCCCAAGGCCGGCTGAGGGACTCGCGCGCCGCCGGGCAGCCACCGTTGTGCGTGTCCGCCTGGCGTCTCCTTCAGAGAGCCGGGCACCTCCTCACACTGCCGCATGCAGCCGGCGCAGTTGCTCCTGCCACCAGGAGGGAGGCAAAGCCGCAGCCGCTCACGCTTGTTCAACTCCGTCTTGAAGTTCTTGATCGTGGTGGGAGACAGGAAACAGCCCAGGCAGAGGCCGAGCACGCCGCTGCAGCTTGCGCGACATCCAGTGAGGCGCGAGGTTCGAGCGAGCCCGCTCATCTGCATCGCCCAGCTCCTGCTTGGCTAGCCAGACGCCCAAGTCGCAGAGGGACGCGCCTAGCAAGATCTGGGACATGCGAAGAATGCCACCGTCGTTCTTCGCGCGCCGCTTCAGCTTGCCCAGCAACGCCGCCGGGATGAGCCAGCAGACGCACGTCACACAGTTGCAGACCACGAGTGGCAGGTGCCAGCCGATATGCAGTGCGGGTGTAGAATGGAAGGCTCAGATTCAGCACACAACCGCAGCCGTGGCCGCCGCCAGGCGCGCCACAGCCGCCATGGCGGTACGGGTTTAGCCGAGGTCCGTCAGCCGGCCAGCGCAGCCAGCACAAAGCCGGAGACCCACCATTCTGAGCAAGAGGACACGATGGGAAGGTTGCGCCTGCAGCCGCTCTCGTTTTGCCGGGGAGAGTAAGCCACGTAGCACCACAATTCGCCAGGGAGGCCGAGGACACAGCTCAGCAGCCGCAAACCAGAAGCACAATGCTGCGCAACGCCACTGCCTGGAGCTGTGGCCGGTGTGGCAGCCACCGTCGAGCGAGCCGTTAATAATCCCTGTACCCACCGTTGCCAGGGCAATAGGCGACACTCATAATTCATCGCAGCGGCCTGCTGTGTCAAGCATCCAACTTCCAACCCGCCGTCAACGCTCACTCGGCTGGGTCATCGGCGAGGAGTGCTGCCGATGCAAAAGTGGGTGGATGCAACAGCTCGTCGAGCTTGCCAGGGCTGCCGCACACCCAGGCATAATCACAGACCGCGACAGGGACCCGTGGAAAGGGCTGGGGGCACACTGCGGGCTCGCACAGTGTCCCTAGCAAACTTTCTCTAAGTGAACGCGGGATAAGAGCCGTATATCTCTCGGGACTCGGCCCTTCTTTCTCGTTCGAGGAGATATAAGTCCGGTCGCCTACGACTACAGGTGCCGCTACCGCTTTGTCAGTTACAAAAACCTTACGGTGCGCCCGAGAAAGAAGCATGCCATCGTAGCGCCGCGAGGTCGAGCGCATAAGACAGAGGTCAGAGCCGGATCAATCATCTTTCCCACAGCGACACGTGCGAGATCAGTCACGCCCACGCCGCAATCTTCTTGGGCAACATTTGGTCCGACAGATCGCCGTGGCCTAGGCAGCCGCTTCCGCCCTGGCCCCAGCTCCAGACAGCGCCGTCGGCGGTGATGGCGAGGCTGTGGGCATAGTCTCCTGCCGACACGGCGACGACGCGCTGGTCAGCAAAGGCCTCGACCTTCCTCGGCAGCAGCTGGTTCTGCGTGTCGCCGTGGCCCAGCTTGCCATAGGCTCCATTGCCCCAGCTCCAGAGGGCGCCGTCGGCGGTGAGGGCGAGGCTGTGGCCGAGTCCAGCCGACACAGCGATGACGCGCTGGCCAGCCAAGGCCTCGACCTTCTTGGGCAGCAGCAGATCCTGTTGGTCGCCGTGGCCCAACTTGCCAAAGCCTCCCAAGCCCCAACTCCAGACGGCGCCGTCGGCGGTGATGGCGAAGCTATGTAAGGTTCCAGCCGAAACAGCGAGGACACGCGGCCCAACAAAGGCCTCGACCTTCTTCGGCAGCAGCTGGCTCTGCTGGTCGCCGTGGCCCAACTGGCCGTCGCCTCCATGGCCCCAGCTCCAGACAGCTCCGTCGGCGGTGAGGGCGAGGCTGTGGCAGCCTCCAGCCGAAATTGCGACGACGCGCTTGCCAACGAAGGCCTCGATCTTCTCGGGCAGCCGCTGCTCCTGCTGGTTGCCGTGGCCCAGCTCGCCTGAGGTTCCCAAGCCCCAGCTCCAGACGGCACCGTCGGCGGCGAGGGCGAGGCTGTGGCCAGTTGCTGCCGACACCGCGACGACGCGCTGGCCAGCAAAGGCTTCGACCTTCTTGGGCAGCGGCTGGTCCTGCTGCTCGTCGCTGTGGCCCAACAGGACAAGTTCGCCCCAGCTCCAGACAGCTCCGCTGGCGGTGAGGGCCAGGCTGTGCATATCTCCAGCTGACACGCTCACGGCGCGCTCGCCGCCCAGCGTCGACGGGAAACGGGTCGGCGTGCGGAGCTGTGTCACGCCCTCGCCCTGACCGAGGGCGGCTGGGAAGTCCTCTTCCGTTGAGCCACACGAAGAGAGCCGCCCCTCGCCGTCAATGAAGACGCTGTGCCGTTCGCCTGCCGCCGCCCTCGCCGGCGTGTTGGACTCGCGCAGCAGCGCCGAATAGCACAGCCGCCGCACGGTGCAGCTCTCGCCCTCTGGCTGCGCCGGCAGCTCGAAGCCGCGCTCTTGCGCCCACAAGCGGATGCCCTCCACCACAAGCGAGGCGTGAAAGAGGAGCGAGACGGCCGCGAAGCGAGCGATGTCGCCGGGGCTGCAGTGAGAGAGGGCGCGGACGAGGAGCTCCCTGGGGAGGTCGAGCAGGCGGGCGGGCGGCGGCGTGTCGGGCGAGGGAGTGGGGGAGGCGGCGGCGGCGAGTCGGCGCGAGCGGCGCGGAGGGGTGGACATCGCGAGAAAAAGAGAAAGGTTACCGACTGGGAAGGCCAGGACGCTCTACCTCGGAGGGAAGAAACGACGCGGTCGTGGCTGTCGCTGCAGCCCAGCGCATGTCATTCGCTCCAGCTCGCGCGGCGGCGGATGAGATTGCGACCGAGCTCAGGCTCGCCGCGGCGTCGGAGGACGCCACCGTCGCCTAGACTCCCTTGCGACACTACGTGCCTCCCCGTGTTTGTAGTCTGGCGTTTGTGCCCCGTTTGCTCTTCTCTTCCTCCCGTTTGAGAGAGAGAGCAAGAGAGATTTCTTTCTCCTCCCGTTTGTGCCTGGTTTGTGCCGCGCCCCGTGCCCCCGAGTTCATTTTTAACATCCGACCTCGACGAGCGGGTGACCGTCGAGCCTTTGCCCTGCGCGCCCCCGCCCTTGGCCGCCCCGCACAAACACACCCCACACGCACATACAAGAACAAATATGTCCCACCACGCAGAGCGCATCTCTCTCTCTGGTGTGCGAGGCGTGAACCGCGCCATTCGCTCTCACCTGGCAACCCTGTGTGCACTCTCGCGCGCGCGTGAACAGGGCTCCAACCGTTCCCTTCCTCGCTCGGTTCGGCGGCTTGCTTGTGCGATTGAAGCTCAAGCTCTTCTTCCGTCGCCCGGCTCCCTTTCGAGATGCCGACACAGTCCAACGACGAGGGCGACTGGATCGAGCTGCTTCGCTGGCAGCGAAAGAAGGGCGGCCAATTCACCGATCACGACTTCCCTGCCGACGACGCCTCTCTTGGCGAAGACGTCCTTCGGGCGGGAAAAGTGAGCTCGTGGCGGCGTGTGTCCGACATTTTTGGTCCGACAACCGAGTACGTCGAGCTCGCCTTCTACGACGATGACGAGCGCAAGCTGTGCGGCGGCGATCCCAACCTGAGCCAGCGCGGCTTTGAGGGCTCCAAGGGCGAGCCGGCCGACGAGGCGGACGAGTTCAAGGGGCACGTGACGCGAATCGTCATGCAGGCCGTGACCGGCGAGGCGGTGGCGCCATCGAAGCCTGAACGCCGCATGAGCCTCGTCTCGAGCGGCCAGGCGCGGCAGCTCCCCAGGCCGAGCCTTCCCACGGCCGAGCTCGCCGCCACAGAGGGGATGGGTGAGTGGCTGCAAAAGTGGGCGTCCCAGACGCGCGCCAAGCACGGCGGCTGCGACATCGAGAAGATCGAGGTGCGGCCGAGTTGGGACCGGAGGCCGGGCTACGTCCCCAGGGTCACCTGCCGGTGCGCCATCCACTTTGCGGCCTACCACATCGCGCTCTTCCAGCGCGGCGAGGACGGCACGTTCGTCGACCCGGCAGATGTCGAGCAGGGCGAGCTGGGCGACTGCTACCTGCTGGGCGCGCTCTCGACGCTGGGCATTCGCGAGGAGCGCATCCTCGACGTCTTCCCCGACCTGCCGCAGGACCGCACTTATGCTATGCAACAACTATGCTAGACATGGCCCTCTACGTGGGGGTGCGAGGCGCCACCACCCCGCTACAGTCCAAAGCGGAGGGTGGATGGCGCCGGCAGCCTGAGTCCTCGTAGACCCAGGAAGGCAGGTGGGTAGAGAGGTGAAGAACAATCAGGGCAGCGACTGGACTGGACACCGGGTGGGACGCAAGCGAGAAGAGGAGACGGCCACACAGAGCGACACGAGACACACATGCAAGACACGTCCTCGTCTCCTCATGCAGGACCTCATCCTCGACAAGGATGGTGACCACCCCGAGTCGGAGCAGCAGTACACTGGCGAGGGGCTGTACGCGGTGCGCCCGTCGTCTGCCGCGCGAGCGAGCGCAGCCCTGTGCCATGCGGACGCCGACGCCCACGGCCCGTGGGTGCACAGGTGCGCGTCTGCCGCGGCGGAGAGTGGCGCACGGTCGTGATCGACGACTTCCTGCCGTGCGACGCAAAGGGCCAGCCGGCGCTCGCACCGCCGCCCGCCCGCGTCCGCCCGATTTCCACGCAACAGTCGCTCTCCACGCCAGCGAAGCCCCTGCCACCTCTGCGCCCTTTCTGCGGCTGCAGCCACCCGCCCCGCGCTCTCCTAGGCTCTCTCCCTTGCGCTCTGACCCCGCCGCTGTCCGCCGTCGCCCCTCTGGCAGGCGTTTGCCCGCTCTGCCGTCAAGAGTGGCACTGTCGAGATCTGGGTCATGCTGGCGGAGAAGGCGTACGCAAAGCTCTACGGGTCCTTCAGCGCGATTATCGGCGGCTCCGAGGCCGAGGCGCTCCAGGACCTGACCGGCGGCCTCCCCTCGCGCATCGGCATTGGAGGCGAACAAGCGGAGCCGCGGTTCAAGGGCTCTGGTGCGGCCGAGGAGGCGTGGACGCTGCTGAACTCACTGCTCGACGAGGGTGCGGTAGTTTGCTGCTCGCGCCAGGCTGACGCCATCCGGCGTGGCATCATCCCGAACCACGCGTATGGCATCCTGCGCGCGCTCGAGGTGAGGCTCGTCGGTGGCAAGTCGGCGAAGCTGGTGCAGGTGCGCAACCCGTGGGGGCGAGGTCTAGAGTGGGACGGCGCCTGGTCCGACGCCGACTCGTCCTGGACACGCGTCGCGCCCGAGTCGCAGCGTCTGCTCGGAAGGAACGTCGGCACGGGGCAGCAGGTGTCCGACGGGACGTGGTGGATGACCGTCGCCGACTGGCAAGCCAACTTCCACCGCCTCGAGTGCTGCCGACACCTCGAGCTGCTGCCCGAGTGGACGGTGCACGCCGTGGTGGGGGAGTGGCAACCCGAGAGCACCGAGACGGGCCAGTGGCATCTGTTCCCGCAGTACCACCTGCAGGCGCAACGCACCGACCCTGCAACCCTCCCCCCCCCCCCCGCTTCCCCCGCCGCCACCACCGCCCCTTCCCTCAGCCGGGCCACGCGCTCACAGGTGGCCGCAGGGTCCCGCATGGTGGTTTGTCTGCAGACGGCGCGAGGCACGCGAGACCACAAGGTCTCGCTCGCCATTGCGCCGATGCTGATGGAGGGCCCGCCGACGGAGGCGGTCGGAAAGCGCGTGCTCAAGTTCGGGGAGCGCCTGCAGGAGCCCGTCTTCCGCCTCGGCCGCTTTTCCGCCGTCGAGGCACCCCTCGCCCCCACCCCCCACCCGCCCGCCCGCCCGCCCCGCCATCCTTCCCGCCGCGCCCCTCACCGCCGTCGACCTCGCCACCGTGCTAGCCGCCCCTCGCCGCTCGACTAGGGTACGTGGCGCGCCCTCATCTCACGGCCCTCGCCGCGACCCTTCTCGGACACTTGCTGCGCAGGCGACCACGCGAGGGGGCGGCGCCGTCATCGTGCCAGCCCTGATGGGCGAGAACGGTGCCGGCGGCAGCGGCCCGAGCATCGCCGAGCCAAAGACGTACCATATGCAGATCTGCACGCTCGGGCCGTCAAAGCTGATCCCGGTGCCGACCGAGCCGCGGCCAAACTGTCCACAGTGCGGCAAGCTGGTCAAGCTGCCGTGGGTCGCATTTGGCAGCGGGCTGAACGCAAAGTACGTGCACAGCGAGTGCAGCAAGGCGTTCCAGCAGTCGAGCGCCGAGGGCTGCGTCCACTGCGGTGCGCCCGTGAGCAAGGTCGAGGGGAAGTTCTCGGGCAAGTTCTACAACGTCGAGGGCGCGCCGCAGTGCCACCAATACCCTAAGCCTCCCCCTCCCCCTAACCCTTACCCTACAACCTCGTCGAAGGCGGCAAGTGCCACGCGGAGTGCTACGCCGCCTTCAAGCAGGCGAGCGCCCCCAAGTGCATACACTGCGGCGCGCCGGTGTGCAAGGTGGAGGGCAAGTTTGACGGGCGGTTCATGGAGGTGGAGGGCAAGGGGAAGGTGCACGGCGAGTGCTACGCGGCGTATCAAGTCGCCGCGGCGCCAAGGTGCCTTCACTGCGGCGAGCCAGTCGCCAAGGTGCAGGGCAAGTTCGACGGAAGATACTACGAGGCGGACGGGGGCAAGGTTCACGGCGAGTGCTGGGCCAAGTACAAGGCGAGGCCAAAGTCCAAGAAGAGGTAGCGAGGTGGGGCGCGAGCCATCGACGTGCAAGCCGGCGACGTAAGCACACGAATCGCAGTGGCCGTTGTGTCGCTTTGTGATTGTGTGGTGGTGTGTCTCAAACTCTTTTTGTGTGTGCCCTCTCCTCACGCGTCACGCCGGCGGCTGGGGCTGACCCCCGGGGCTTGGTGGTGTGCGCACAGAGATATGGGCGGGGCCCGCCCACGGTAGCCTCGTGCAGTACGAGATACACGGCTTTACCGAGAGCTGGGGGAGAGGCGCGCCACCAAGGGGGACAAGCGACGGGAGGGGGAGAGTAGCCAAGTAGCCTCGCCTTTCGCAGGGGTAGAGTAAAAGCAATTTTTTCTGACATCCGCTGCAAAAAATCTTCCTTCTTCGCCGGAGCGCGGAGGCTCCCTGCAGGTGCAGCCTGCACGACCACGAGATGAGCCGAGATGGGGCGGAGATCAGCCGAGATCAGGAGGGCGGGGGTTGCCGAAACATTAATTTTCAAGTATGGCAACGAAGTGACTGGAGAGGGGAGAAGGTGTCTCGATCAATCGTCGAGAGAGTGGGCAAAGGCCGCGTGGGCGCAGGCTGGCGCGCCCGATCCGTCAGGCGCCCTCGCCTCCAAACAGAAGCCCGGTCCGGAAGGACTTCGGGACGAGGCTCCAAAAGCCGCGCGTGTGCGCACCGCCCGGGCAGCAAAAGGCGAAGCAATGGCTGTGGTCCGGCGTAGCGTGCGGGTGGAAGAGGTCAGACACATCGCCGAAAGCGTCGCGCCACGTCGCCTCGTCGAGCGAGAAACGGAAGGCCGCGGGCGGCGGCGGCGGCGGCGGCGAGGCCGTGCCGGGGCAGCTGTATGTCTCCGTCCACGAGCAATCGCACGTGTAGGGCGGCGGCGGCGGCGCGATCTGCGGCTGCTCAAAGGCGCGACGCGACGCGAGCACGACGGCGGTGCAGAGCAGCAGCGCCAGCAGCGCGAGCATCGTGCAGTCGAGCCAGCAGAGGGCGGCGAGGAGTCGCCCGCGCGTGCGACCCTGCCACCTAAGGTGCGGGCAGGTACGGTGAACTTCTCCGCACACACGAGGTGGGGGGGCAAGGGCCAGGCTAGCCCCTCGCGACTCCACGCTCGAGGAGGCAGGAGCCGGCACGGCATTCAAAGTGCACGGCCCGGTGCGCGTGGGTGAGCGGTGTGAGCCACCGTTGGAGGACGACGCGAAGGCTGGTCTTGCCCGGCTCGCGCCCGTCGAAGTCGACGCGCGTGCAAGAGAGGTGCAGCAAGGCTGCGCCAAGCAGCACCTGTTCACAGCGAGAGGTGTGAAGAGACGCTGTTCACAGCCCGCCAGGCGAGCGAGGCCCCGAGCAGCACCAGCAAACAGAGGAGGACGCATAGCGCGCGCGCCTTGCGCACTCTGTCCTGCAGGGCCGGCAGCTCCCTGCCAAGCCTCTCGTTGACGTCGTGGAGCATGCCACGCGGGCGCGGGAAGGAGCCACGCCAGTCCGCAGGCGGCGGGCCGTGGCAAGTGAGCAATGCGAGCGCGTCGCTCCACTCGCCGCCCTCCTTGTGGTTTCGGATGACGCCAGAGAGTGTCACCTCGGTCACGGAGAAGCGGCCGTCGCAGTCTGCGAGCGTGTGGTTCGACGTGAGGCCGTGGAGGTCGACGTCGAGGAAGAGGTAGCCGAACGCCTCCATCTCTCCCTCGCCGCCGCCCACCCGCGCGCTGTACTCCATCAGGTCGTACGCAAAGGTGAGCCTACGTGCTGAACACGCCAACCTCAGGGTGGGAGTACGGTATCGCGCAGAGCAGTCAGAGCAGCGTGTGGACACGAGGGGCACGAATACAGCGGAATCGTCTTCCGCTTCTAAGGAGGTGAGCCCGATCTGCATCGCGTACAACCGTATCGTGAGCCGGTCGGGCCACATCTGGAGCCAGCGAGACGCGTCGTCGTCCCAGCACGCGCCAACCTCGACCGCCTCCGTGCTCTTGCGCGTGGTGATCGCGCCGAACTGCACCAGCTCCAGCCCCGGCACCGGGATCTTACCCGGCAGCCGCACCCGGTTGGGTGACGGCGGCGAAGGGACCTGCTTCGCCATGGCCTCGTTGACTGCTTTATCGATCCGAGTCTGCATCCACCACGGCACCGGATGGCATCCCTTCGGAAGCGGAGCATGACGGCGGTCGGTGAGGGAGTACTCCTCGATCGGCTGAGTGTCCGTCGCCTCAGAAAAGCGGGAAGCGATGAGAGAGACGCTGAGTCCGCCAATGCCGGCGTAAAATACAGCAAACGCAGCCAGGAGGAGGAGGAGGAGGACGCCAGCGGCTCGGGCGCGCTGCCCGACCGCCTCGTCACGAGTCTGCATGTGAGCCCGGGCCAACTTCTCCTTGCACACCGCGAGACGAAAAGAATTTTACAAAAGGCTCGGGGAAACCCGGAGCGCGAGCCAACCCTCGGAGACCCGTGTTTACTTTAAGGCCCTTTCCCTGCGAACGCGCACCCCCGGGGCTAGGACTCTCTTGCCCGCAACCCGATCCCGATCATCCGGCCCGCTGGGTGCGCTTCTCAGCTCCCCGGCCCTGGATGTGAGAAGACGCCGCCGCTGGGGACACGCTCGTCGTCTCCACGATCCACGGGTACAAGGGCCGGCAGGCGACTCGCGTATGCATCTTCCAGCCCGACCACCTGCCGCTGCCCGACCGGCTCAGGCTCGAGGACGACCCGTGGCGGTCGTGGGAGGCGGACGAGGAGCGGTGCATCTTCAACGTCGCCCTCTCGCGGGCGGAGGACAGGCTGCATCTCATGGTACACCTCGAGGACGGCGCCAACCGCACCGGACTCCTCACCCTGTGGGACGCGCCGGCCGACCTGGAGACCTCGCAGTCAACCGAGGCCACCGCGTCCATCATCTCTTCACAGGTGTGCACTCGCATGCCCTTCCCCCCCCCCCCCCCCCCCTGGCCCCCCCGCCCTCTCAGCCTCGCTCTATGCTCCGAGCAGGAGTCCGCCGGCGAGCCGGATGAGGTTGACGAGGCCACCAACGGCGCCCTCGCCGTGCTGCAGCTCGAGGCCGTGCCGGCCAACCTTCAGGAGCTCGCGGCCGCCGTGCGGCAGAACCTCCGCGCCGCCAACTCGTCCATCGGCAACTTCGACTCGCCGGCGGTGCAGGCACGCACGCAGGAGTGCTTGGGCGCGCGCCGCCACCTCACCAAGGTGATCACCCGCCGCAACCTGCAGCGGGTGAACGACGCCATGGCACTGCACCACTAGACGCGCTCTCAGTGAAGAGGGGGGCTCGCCCACGCCACCGGCTAGTCCAGCGGCATCGGCTTGCGCCACCGCCATCGGCGCCAACGCCACCGGCATCGGCTCCCCCCCCCCCCCCTCCCGCTTGAATGTGAGTCTTGTGTCGCACTCTCAGTGAACCTCCCGTGTCCTGTCTGAATGTGAGTCTTTGTGTCGCACTCTCAGTGAGGAGGGGGTTTGCCCACGCCACCGGCTAGTCCCGCGGCATCGGCTTACGCCACCGCCAGCGGCGCCAACGGCATCGGCTCCCCCCCCCTTCCCGTGTCCGGCTATTGTCGCCTGCATACATGCTCGTTAAATGCGGGGTGCTCACCCCAGCACAGAAAAGAGAAAAGAGACGAGGACCACAAAGAGAAGGAGGACTGCGGGCGCCACGCCCGCGCCCCCGAGCCAGCTAGGGGCACCTGGCGCTCGTTCCCGGCGCGCAAGTAGTGCACCGGGGCGGAGGCCGGCCGGCAGTCTTGTGGCCATCTTTCATCTCACGCTCGCTGAAGCTGCAGCTTACCTCCGCACGCCCTGGCGCGCGCAACACATGCACGCTCGGCAGACGCGAAGATGCCGCCACGACTGGGGTTTGGCGCGCACCGCATCTCGACTGCAGCCCACGCCTCCGCCCTCCGCCGCTCACTTGACCTCGGGGTGTGCGGACTCATCGACACTTCGCCAAACTACGGCGAGAGCGAGCGGATTGTGGGCAGAGTCGTGCGTGAGTGGCGCGAACACAGGGGGAAAGAGCGGGAGCTAACGGTGGTCACCAAGGTTGGCGTCCTGCAGGGCGCCGACCTGGCTGACGCACGGGTGAGCGCCTGTGGAGTGCTGCCCGCTTCAGCACAACATGAGAGGCCGCCTCGCTGACGCCGCGGATCTCGCAAAACGTCCGTGCAGGAGCGGGAGCTGCGCGGGAGGCCGTGGCCGGGCGTCCTCAAGCTCTCTCCTGACGCGTGGTCCGCCCGCCCAGTTCGCTCACGCGGCGCTTCCGCGACACTTCGACCCCTCTCTCGACCTCACAGGCACTGCATCTCGCCCGAGTACATCGAGCACAGTGTGTGGCGCTCGTCGGCCGCGCTCGGATCGCCGCCCGACGTCGTCCTGCTGCACAACCCCGGTCCGACATGCAGCCGAGATGACACCTCGGCTGCACCTCGGCTGCACCTCGGCTGCACCTCGGCTGTCATCTCGGCCGCTGTATTCCGCAGAGTTCTTTATCGCCGACCAGCTCGCACGAGGCCGCCATACCGCCGCCGCCACCTCCGCCGCTGCCGTTGCAGCCGATGACAGCGGTCGATGCGAGGACCTGTACGATGGCTTCTACGCCCGCCTCGGAGACGCCTTTGCCGCGCTGGCCGCGTGCCACGGCGGTCGCTTCGGCGTCAGCTCGAACCTCGTCGGCTGCCGGTACGGCGTGAGCGGGCGCGCGAACGACGCGGAGGCGGTCGATGCTCGCGCGGGTGGTGCGGCGAATTGACCCAGTGATGAGTGGCCGGTTGGTTGAATTTCATTAGGCGGTCGAGCTCGCGAAGGTCTGTGGTGATGCCTTTCCCTGAGAACGCACACAACAGCCTCGTGTGCAATGCCCTGTGTTCCGCGAGTGCGTGTGCCCCGTCGTCCGTGCTAGGACCGTGTGTCCCACTGACTGACTGACTGCTCGCGAAGGTGGTGCGCGCCGCCGAGGAGGGCTGCGGCGCGGCGGCGGATCGGTGCAGCGTGGTGCAGCTCCCGGTGAACTTGCTTGAGCCCGACGCCGTCGCTGGCAGCGCCTCCGCCCCGGTGGCAGAGGCGAGAGCGCGCGGTTTCACCGTACTGAGCCACCGGCCGCTGCACGCAATCCCGCCCGCCGAAGGGCTCGGCGGCGGCTTTGGCCTCACCTCGGCGCGCCACCTGACGCCACGGGACGGTGCGGACGCTGTGAACAGCGTCTCTTCACGTCTTTGGCCTGAACAGGCGCGCCACTTGACGCTGCGGGACGGGCGGCCGACGCTTCCGGCGGCGGCGCTCGTGCGAAACACCGCGCGCGAGGCGCTCGCGCCGCACCTTCCCGACGCGGCGTCGCTCGCCCTCGAGGACATCGCGCTGCTCTACGCGATGCACGCCCCCGCCGTCGACGTCGTCCTAACGGGGATGCGCAGCGCGGAGTACGTCGACGCCGCGGCGAGGCTGCTGCGGCGGCCGCCGCTCTCGCCCGAGGCGTGCGAGGGAGGTGCGTGCTCACGCGTGGGCGGGTTGCACGTTCAACAGCTGGCGACGGCGTGTGGATAGGCGCACGCCGACCTGACCGCGGCGATGTTGCGCCTCATCAGCGAGCTGCAGGGCGAGCAGGCTAGCCGATGAGTCGCATCTCTGGACTCTGTGTCGAATGTCGTTGAGTGGTGGCCATATATGAGAGGTTTCAGTGGGGTGGGTACAGTCTACAGACACTGAGCCCTGGCTGACAGCCTGACAGCAAACCTTTGACGCAGCGCCTGACAGTGCCCGACAGCCTAACAGTGTTAATGTAACAGCGTTGACAGCACACTTTCTCTGACAGCCTGCCTGACCGCAGCACGTACGGGGTGCTGTGGACCGTGAGTTGACCAGGGGTTGTGCGCCGGGCCCTCCTGCTCGGCTCCAGCCAGTAGACAAGTCTTCTCAGATCTCACTAAGAGAGTAGAAGGATCTGACCTCAGGGCCGATGTGACACCAAAAGCGCTGGTAGAGTGGGTTTACCTCACACCCATGGTCTCACAGTGTGCCGGCAGTCGCCGAGCAGTGTCGCTCACACAAGCCGCAGCACAAGTGACTGAGGGCCAGTGAGGGCGAGCCCATCGCTGTCACAGCTGTGGCAGCCGCACAATAGGCTGTGCCGTCTGTGCAGAGCGTGTGAGCAGCAGAGGAGCTGCTCTCCAAGCTTCAGGCGCAAAGAGCTGCATGCCATCGAAGGCGCTGTCGAGGTTCTCGCCGAGCGCGGCGCAGGTTGGAGGACACCGTCACCGACGAGCGCGTTGGAGTATTCACTCCGGACAAAGACGGCGACACGCACACGAGCTGCGGCCGTGTCGCCGTCATAGCGGCGAGGCGCGGGACCGTCTGTGGCGAAGTGGGTCGCGTCCTCCGATTTCCTCAACTCACGGTCCACACCCTTTATCTGACAGCCTGACAGCAGAGCCTGACATCAGAGGTGACCCGTCGCTGTCAGGCCCTAACGTGACAGCCTGACAGCTGCCCGACAGCCCGACAGCACACAGTGGCCTGACAGCAGCGCTGACAGCCCGACAGCCCGACCAGCCCGACAGCCGCAGCACAGACCGTACACAGGCCGTGCAGCCTATCTTTCTTGTGCCCCATGAGCTTGAGAGGGTATAAAAAACTATTACATGCAAAGACATGTGCATGTGAGTTTGGTCCATCTAGTCATGGATGGTCATGGGTCTCTCTCTCTCTCGACCCTCCCGCCCCACCTCTGCGGACCCGCGGCTGTGCTACTACAAATGAAGCTACCAGCTAGCCTTCTGGGGCCCTACAGTCATATATGCCTACGGCGTCTGGGTGGGGTGGCCGCCGCCGTCTGTGCCGCCGCCGCCGCCTGCGCCTGCGCCGCCATCTGCGCTCCCCCCAGGCGGCCGCCGCCGCCGCCGGCACGGTAGACGTGCGCGCCGTGCCACTGGCAGCTCGAGCGCAGAGTACCTGGGCGCCAGCTCTCGATGAGTCAGCGCAGCAACGGGGTCTTCATCAATGACCCCAAGGGCCTCTTTATCCTCCGGTGGTACCGTGAGGTGAAGGGTGACGGGACCCCCCTAGACGGCCCGCGCTACCAGAACAGAGCGTGCAAGAGTACTACAAGCTGACGAGCGACAACGATGGGGAGGCCTTCCGCTGGACCAGCAACTACCAGATCATCAGCAAGGTGTACCTGAAGAAGCACTCCACCCTGCCTGGCCTCTCTGCTATTCTCTCAGTGCGGCAGACAAGAAGATGGTGACGTCCACCATGAAGAAGATGGTGGGACCGGAGGCAGAGTAGAGACTAGAGTATGTGCAGCAGAGTCCTGCTGGTCTCCTCTTGATAATGTCATAAGTGTGGCTGGTGTGTGTCAGAGCCTGACAGCGCCCCGGACAGCACCACTTGACAGCACCTGACAGCACCGGCCCAACGGTCTGACAGCAGCAGCAGCCTGACGGTCTGACAGCTCCGACAGCGTCTGACAGCAACACCCGACAGCTCCGACAGCACCCGACAGCTACAGATCCCCTCTGATGTCAGACAAGCACCCGACAGAGAGGGGGTGGTGTGCGCGACCTGGAGCATCGCGACCAGCGTCCCTTTCGGGAGGGAGAGCGCCGAGCGGATCGTCTCCACCTTGTACAACTCTCTGTAACGTGTACGCTAGTTAGAGCCGTACGGCTTTACGTCCAGGTTCACTCGCATTGCGGGCCGCTGTCTGGCTGGCGCTCGCCGCATGACGCATGTCCCTTTGCACATTTTATCCCCCGGTGCGTGTGATGCTGCGCGGCCAGACGCCCCGCGCGTCCGCGCGTGCGAGTGGGCAGCTCCAGCTCGCAGCTGGCCTCCGTGAGGCGGAGATACGCAGCGGAAAAGGCCTTGCTGCATGCGCTGGCCTGCTCACGCAGGACGCAGCTCAGGCGCAAAGCCGCGCCTCCCCGGCCCCAGCCGGCTAAAGGCCATCAGCACACACGTGGGCGAGAGCAAACTGCGCAGTGTTTATACATAATAGGGGTGCGACCCTGCCTCGCCGCACGTGACACCGACCGCGCCGCACTCGCCAGCTAGCTCCAGTGCCCGAACCCCCCCCCCCCCCCTTTCTCACTCCCGCGACCACACCTCGATCTTCTTCGGCAGCAGCTGGTTCGACAGGTCCTCTCCGTGGCCTAGGCGGGCATCTTCGCCCTGGCCCCAAGCGAAGACAGCGCCATCGGCGGTGAGGGCGAGGCTGTGGACTTCCCCTGCCGACACAGCGACGACGCGCCGCGCCGCAAAGGCCTCGATCTTCTTGGGCAGCAGCTGGCGCTGCAGCTGGCGCTGCTGGTTGCCGTGGCCCAACTGGCCATAGTGTCCCCAGCCCCAGCTCCAGACAGCGCCGTCGGCGGTGAGGGCGATGCTGTGGTACCCTCCTGCCGACAAAGCGATGACGCGCCGCCCAGCAAAAGCCTCGACCTTCTTGGGCAGTAGCTGGTTCGACAGGTCCTCTCCGTGGCCTAGGAAGCCGCGTTCGCCCTCGCCCCAGGTAAAGACGGCGCCATCGCCGGTGGTGGCGAGGCTGTGGATTTCCCCTGCCGACACAGCGATGACGCGCCGCCCAGCCAACGCCTCGATCTTCTTGGGCAGTAGCTGGTTCTGCTGATTGCCGTGGCCCAACTGGCCACAGGCTCCATAGCCCCAGCTCCAGACAGCGCCGTCGACGGTGAGGGCGATGCTGTGGAACGCTCCCGCATACACAGCCACAACGCGCTGGTCAGCAAAGGTCTCGACCTTCTTCGGCAGCAGCTGGCGCTGCCAGTCGCCGTGGCCCAACCGGCCGTCGCCTCCTGAGCCCCAGCTCCAGACGGCGCCATCGGCGGTGAGGGCGAGGCTGTGGCACCATCCAGCCGACACAGCGATGACCCGCCGCCCCGCAAAGGCCTCGACCTTCTTCGGCTGCCACTGGTGCTCATCGTCGCCGTGGCCCAGCTCGCCCTGCCCGCCGCAGCCCCAGGACCAAAGGGCGCCGTCCGCGGAGAGAACGAGGCTGAAAAGTCCTGACGCCGCCACACCAATCGCGCGCTCGCCGCCGGCGTGAAAGAGCAGCGAGACGGCCGCGACGCGAGCGATGTCGGCGGGGCTGTTGCAGTGAGAGAGGGCGCGCGCGAGGAGCTCCGTGGGGAGGTCGAGGAGGCGGGTGGGCGGCGGCGTATCTGGCGAGGGAGCGGCGGTGGTGGTGGCGGTGAGGCGGCGCGAGCGGCGCGAGCGGCGCGGTTGGGGTGGACATCGCGAAGAAAAGATAACCGATCAACATGGCTGCGAAAAGAATTTGCCAACGGTGCCCTCTACTTAACCGTACTTAATCGGGAGCATCGAACTTGCGCGGCGACCTTACGAGTGCACGCGAGAGAGGCCGTCCGGTGAGGTGTGTGTGGTCGAGCTGTGGGGTACACGCCGGTCGCCGCTGGTTGCATCGGCCCTCGGCATTTCATGGTGCACAACAGGGCTGTTTGGCGTCTCGCGGGCAGGGAGGGGTTGGGCGTTGCGTGCGCGCACCTGCCTGAGGGGCCATGCCTTCGAGCTTCGTCCAGCGGACCTCTGTCGTTCGTTGGACGGCCAGACGCCAGAGGGCGGCCGCGACACGTTATGAGCTGCGACAGGGGACACCCGCGGCGACGCGAGGGACAGGGAGCTCGACACACCTCGAAATCTGTAATCTGTAAAAGTGCCCAAGGAAGGTGCCACACGGAGTGTTTTTGCCGCGGGACGACCCGCCCGGCGTCGCTCGCAGTCGCACGCCGTCCTCGCCCACGCACGCGCTGATGATCGCCGCAAGAACTCACGGTAGCGAGAACGAATCCACGGGGCGCGTACACCAACCAAGGTCGGAGCCCCTCGCAAAGTTACAGACGATCCACAGCTTCACAACCCACACCACTGAATTCACCACTGCAGCAGGCCACATCACTCAGCGCGCTCCAGAAGGCAAATGTTGGCGGTGCGGTTAGCGCTCTTGCTTGGCGCGGCGCGCGCCTTCTACCTGCCCGGCGTCGCGCCGCGCGAGTACGGCACAGGCGAGCGGGTGGAGCTCAAAGTCAACAAGCTAACGAGCACCAAGACTCAGGCGGGCGACGGCCTGCGCGCGCCTGTCCGCCTTCAGCACGCAACTCTCTGCCCACGCGCACTCCCTCTGGCGCAAAGTCGGTGAGCGTCGGCGCTGCTGACGCACGGCTAGCCGCCTCTCCGGTCTGGATGTGCGGTGTCGCCCACTGCGTGCGAGGGACAGCTTGCTCGCCTTCTCACCACGCAAACCCTGTGTTCTCTCTGCGTGCGAGCGCGTGCGCCTGACGGCCGCACGTCCCCGCGCAGCTTCCCTACGAGTACTATGCGCTGCCCTTCTGCCGGCCCGACGAGGTGGTCGTGGTGGCGGAGAACCTGGGAGAGCTGTTGCGCGGTGCGGCCACAGCAGCCGGCGGCGGCGGGCCTTGTCCCTCGTGGCTGAAGCCGCCCTCGCGCCGGGTCGGAATAGGCGACCGCATCATGAATTCGATGTACGAGCTCAAGATGGGCGCGCTTCCTGCCCCATGCGGCCTTCCTTCTTCTACCCTTCGCGACGGCTCGTTGTCCGTGACCGGCCGGCCGCCCGCCGCGCCGCGCAGGCGTCGACGAGACTTGCAAAGTGCTCTGCCGCAAAGAGCTGACGGAGAAGGAGGCGGCGGAGTTTGCGCTCCGCATCGACGAGGACTACCGGGCGCGCGTTGCGCCTCTCTCGCCCTCGCGCCCCTCTCCTCCCGCTCCACTCTGCGCTCTCGTCTGCACCGAGTCGCTGCCGTGCCGCACAGCTGCCACCCTCACCCTCACGCTCGCAGCTCACACCTCACGCCCCCGCCTCCTCCTCCGCAGGTGCACTGGGTGATGGACAACCTGCCCTCCGCGACAAAGTACGTCGACGAGACCAACCCGGCCAAGCCGCTCACCATCTACGACCTCGGCTTCCCTCTCGGTGTGCGCTCACACCCCGCCGCCGCCCCTGTGGCAACGGCGCGGTTATCCGTCCACACACGCGCACCGGGCCCTTGCACTTCGAATGCCGTGCCGGCTCCTGTCTTCTAGATGTGGATTCGTGAGGGCTGCCTGGCCCCTGCCCCACCACCGCTGTGTGTGGAGAAGTTTACGTGACCTCACCTCACCTCGGCTATTGCATTGGTGTCTGTGCGGGTGCCTCTCCCTGAGATCGCACACAACAGCCTCGTGTGCAATGCCCCGTGTGTTCCGCGAGTGCGTGTGCCCCGTCGTCCGTGCGAGGGACGTGTGCACCACTGCCTGACTGACCTGCCCTCACAACGCCCACCGCGGTGCGTCTTGTCTCGACCCCCCCTCACCTCGACCCACCTCCAGCGCGCCCGCTCTCTGCTGCCAGGCTTCCGCGGCTCGGGCGAGATTCCTGGGACGGCGGTGGGGAGGGCGTACCTCAACAACCACCTGCTCCTCACCGTCAAGTTCCACAAGGACCCGTCGAGCTTTGAGGGGGCGCGCATCGTCGGCTTCGAGGTGGAGCCGTGCCTAGGTCTCGGAGGCGGAGAGGGGGGGAGAGAGGGGGAGAGTGGGGGGGAGATCGTGTAGGTGGAGCCGTCCTCGATCAAGCACTCGTACTCGGGCACGTGGAGGCGCGACACTTCCGAGACACCCTTCCGAGACACCCTTCCGAGACACCCTTCCGAGACACTTCCGGTACTCTTGGCACACACGGGGAGGCGCGGCGCCTTCGCTCGCCCACGCCTCTCGGCCACGCCTCTCGGCCGCACCTTCCCCGGCCTCCCCGCGGCCACACGCTCTCTCTTCGGCCACCCTCCCCCGGCACACCCCGCGCCCACGACCGCTCCACCTCCTCGCCCCACCTCTCTGGGCCACCTCTCTGCCGTCTCTTAGCTCTGCCGCCCCTCTCTCCCTCTCCCCCTCTCCCTCTCTCCCTCTCCCTCCCCCTCCCCCTTCCCCCCCCCCCTCCCTGCCTCTCTCCCTCTCTCCCTCTTTCTGCCCCTCTCTCTGCCCCCCTCTCTCTGCCCCGCTGCCTCGCGCGCGGCGCGTCCACCACCCGCCCACCACCCGCCCGCCACCCGCCCACCACCCGCCCACCACCCGCCCACCACCCGCCCGCCACCCGCCCACCACCCGCCCACCACTCGCCCGCCACCCCCCCCCCACCCGCCCACCACCCGCCCGCCACCTGCAAACGCGTGCCGCAGGGGCGCCGAGACGCAGCTCTCGACGTGCGGCGGCGCGGTGTCGACGCCGCTGGCGAGGCTCGAGGAGCGTGGCGTGACATGTCCAGGACATGTCCAGGACACCTCTATGACATGTCTCATAGGGCATGAGCGGCGCGGCGGAGGCGGTCTTCACGTACGACGTGAAGTGGGAGGTGTCCGACATCAAGTGGGCGAGTCGCTGGGACACGTACTTGCTGATGGGCGACGAGCAGATCCACTGGCGCACCACCCTCGCCCCCCACCTCTGCCCCCCTCCCCCCCCCCCCACACGCACACAAACCCACACACACACACACACACACACACACACACACACGCACGCACGCACGCACGCACGCACGCACACACACACACACACACACACACACACACACACACACACACACACGCACGCACGCACGCACGCACGCACACACACACACACACACACACACACACACACACACACACACACACACACACACACACACGCACACGCACACGCACACACCAACAGCCCCACCCACCCACTTGCTCCGCCAGAAGCTCTCGTGAACGGCTCTCTGACGGCTGACGACTCTAGCTAGTTAGTTCATTAATTATAATTAATGACTTGATTAGGTTCTCGATCGTCAACTCGCTGATGATCGTCCTCTTCCTCTCCGGCATGGTGGCCATGATCCTGATGCGCACGCTGCACCGCGACTTCAACCGGTACAACGCCATCGAGGCGGCCGAGGAGGTGGAGGAGGAGACCGGCTGGAAGCTGGTCCACGGAGATGTCTTCCGGCCGCCGCAGAACCCGATGATGCTCTCTGTCCTGGTCGGCACGGGCGCGCAAACCTTCTGCATGACGGTCCGCGAGCCCTGCCTCACTCATTCATTCCCTAACTAATTCCCTAACCGTTTGCATGACGGTCCGCGAGCCCTGCGGCTGGCGGCGCTCTGTCCCCCTCCGCTGCGCCGCACGCCGTTCTCCCCTCCCGCCTCTCCTCGTGCCTTCACCGCCCCCACCCTTCCTGCCGCCCGTCGCTCCCGCCGCCGCCGCCACCTCCCCACTCCGAGTCGCCGCTGATGCCGCCGCCACCTCAACCGTACCCTCTGATGCGGCGTGGCTGCGCCGACGCGCGGACGCGGCTGCCCCCGCAGGTCATCACGATGGTCTTCGCGGTGCTCGGCTTCCTCTCGCCCGCCAACCGCGGCGGGCTCGGCACCGCCATGCTGCTGCTCTTCGTCTTTATGGGCGTGCCCGCCGGCTACGCGTCCGCCTTCCTGCACAAGACGCTGAAGGGGGTGCGCAGCGACGGGGAGGGGAGAGGGGGGAGGGGAGAGGGGAGAGGGTGTGTGGGGGGTGGGTGGTGGTGGGGGGGGGGGGGGGGTGGGGGGGGGAATGAGAAGACAGCGGGGTGTTCTAACCGGGGGGGGGGGGCTCACGACGCCCGCGTGATACCGCACCACCCACGGGGCTGAACCCCCCCTGGGTTCGGTACTCTGGAGGTATGGGAGTAGGTGGACGGGCGCACGGGTTCGGTACTCTGGAGGTATGGGAGTAGGTGGACTGGCGCACGAACATCCTGCTCACGTCCACCTTCTTCCCCGGCGTCGTCTTTCTCATCTTCTTCGTCCTCAACTGCTTTGTGTGGGGCGAGAAGTCGTCTGGCGCCGTCCCGTTCGGAACCATGTTTGCGCTGCTGGTGTTGTGGTTCGGAATCTCCATGCCGCTGGTCTTTGCGGGGTGCGCCCGCCCGCCGCCCCACCTCCTGCCCCGCCCGCCGCACCACCCGCCGCCCCACCTCCTCCCCCGCCTCCTGCCCCACCACCGCGTGCCTGCACCCAAGCACACTCCTGCGGCACACATCCTGCGCCGTCCGCGCCGCCGCCGCACGACACACGGCGCCGCGCCAAGAGACGTGACGCAGCGCAGCCGGCCTGGCCTTCCGACCCCGCCTCTCCCCCGACCGCAGGTCCTACCTCGGCTACCGGCGCAAGAACGTCGACTTGCCGGTCCGCGTCAACCAGATACCGAGGCAGGTGCCCGAGCAGGTCTGGTACATGAGGCCCGCCTTCTCCATCGTGGTTGGCGGAGTCCTCCCTTTTGGCGCGCCGCCTCCGCCGCCCCGCCGCCCCGCCGCCCCGCCGCCCCGCCGCCCCGCCGCCGCCCAACACCACCGCCGCCGCTGCTGCTCACCGCTCTCCCTCACCGCCGCCGCGCCGCCACAGGCGCTGTGTTTATCGAGCTCTTCTTTATCCTCTCCTCCATCTGGCTGCACCAGTTCTACTACGTGTTTGGCTTCCTGCTCCTCGTCTTCCTCATCCTGATCATCACCTGCGCCGAGATCACCATGGTGATGTGCTACTTCCAGCTCTGCGCGGAGGACTACCACTGGTGGTGGCGCGCCTTCCTCACCTCGGGCGCGCGCCCGCCCAGAGACACACGACAACAACGGCGCTCCACACTCCGTCGGCGGCGGGCGTCGCAGCGCACAGCCGCCGCACTCTCGCCCCGCGCCCCACGACGCCCCACAGCCGGCCGCGAGCGCGCGTGGCCACCAACTCGAGGTAGCGGGCGCCGGAGAACCCCGCGCCGCCTGCGCCAGCCGCCCTCTCTCCCGGTCGGCAGGCTCGTCGGCGGGGTACATGTTTGCGTACTCGGCCTTTTACTTTTACACCAAGCTCGAGATCACAAAGCTCACCTCGTGCTTGCTCTACTTCGGCTACATGTTCATCGCCGCCCTCGTGTTCTTCGTCCTCACGGGCACCATTGGCTTTTACGCGTGCTACTGGTTCGTGTGGAGGATCTTCTCGGCCATCAAGGTGGACTAGGGAGGAGGGGAGAGGGGGAAGAGAGAGAGTGTGTGAGAGAGAGAGAGACACCGGGCGGCCGTCGGTGGTGCGGCTTGTGGCGAGCAGCGCAGAACCTGCACACGGACTCGCGCCGCCGCAGTGATGTCATGCCTTGCACGGCCCCTGCGGATTATGTGTTTTTGCGCAGCCAGTAGACGGCCGAGAATCTGGTTTATGCACACGCCCAACAAAATCTGGAAAACGAAGCTGAAACAGCCGTCATCAAACACATCATCTCGGTCGGGGAGAACGGGGAGCGCGCTGCGCGGCGGTGAGACTGAGAGGGAGCGCATTCACCCCGCGCCAGAGTCTCGTTGACGTCGCAGCCTTCCTTCGACACGAGATGCACGCGCTTGGCGTCGCGCGCGTGGAGTGCCTCAAAGAGCTTGGAGGGCGGCATTCGGTACCAGGGTGTTAGCGCGCACAGCGCGAGATGAAGAGGCTAGAGTTGTAGAGAGGGTTCCCCTCTCACTGCGACTGCCCCGGCGCCCACACCTCGATCTTCTTGGGCAGCAGCTCGTTCGATAGGTCCTCTCCGTGGCCTAGGCAGCCGCTCTCGCCCTTGCCCCACGTGAAGACAGCGCCATCGGCGGTGCGGGCGAGGCTGTGCCGCTCTCCCGCCGACACATCGACGACGCGCTGGCCAGCAAAGGCCTCGATCTTCTTGGGCAGCAGCGGGAGCTGCTCATTGCCGTGGCCCAGCTGGCCCCAGCCTCCATGGCCCCAGCTCCAGACGGCGCTGCTCATTGCCGTGGCCCAGCTGGCCCCAGCCTCCATGGCCCCAGCTCCAGACGGCTCCGTCAGCAGTGAGGGCGCGGCTGTGGCAGCCTCCAGCCGACACAGCCACGACGCGCTGACCAGCCAAGGCCTCGACCTTCTTCGGCAGCAGCTGGTACTGCTCGTCGCCGTGGCCTAGCCTGCCAAAGGTTCCACGGCCCCAGCTCCACACGGCTCCGTCGGCGGTGGTGGCGATGCTGTCCAGCCGACACAGCGACAACGCGCCGCCCAGCGAAGGCCTCGATCTTCTCGGGCAGCAGCTGCTTCTGCTGGTCGCCGTGGCCGAGCTGGCCAAAGCCTCCCCAGCCCCAACTCCAAACGCTGCCGTCGGCGGTGAGGGCGAGGTTGTGCTGGCCTCCAGCCGACACAGCGAGGACACGCTGGCTATCAAACGCCTCGACCTTCTTGGGCTGCAGCTGCTGCTGCCAGTCGTCGTGGCCCAACCGGCCAAAGCCTCCATAGCCCCAACTCCAAACGCTGCCGTCGGCGGTGAGGGCGAGGCTGTGCTGGCCTCCAGCCGCCACAGCGACGACGCGCTGGTCAGCAAAGGCCTCGATCTTGTTCGGCAGCAGCCGCTCCTGCTCATCGCCGTGGCCCAACTTGCCAGAGGCTCCACCGCCCCAGCTCCAGGCAGCGCCGTCGGCGGTGAGGGCAAGGCTGTGGCAGCCTCCAGCCGACACGCTCACGGCGCGCTCACCGCCCAGCGGGGAAGGGAGGCGGGTCGGCGTGTTGAGCTGCGCCACGCCCTCGCCGTGACCGAGCAGCCCTGGCATGCTGTTCTCAGCCCTTCCGCACGACGAGAGCCGCCCCTCGCCGTCAATGAAGAGGCTGTGCTGAAGGCCTGCCGCAGCACTCACCGGCGGGTTGGACTCGCACAGCAACGCAGCGAAGCACAGCCACCGCACGGCGCAGCTCTCGCCCTCTGGCTGCGCCGGCAGCTCGAAGCCGCGCTCTTGCGCCCACAAGCGGATGCCCTCCAGCGCCAGCGAGGCGTGGAAGAGCATCGAGACGGCCGCGACGCGAGCGATGTCGGCGGGGCTGTTGCAGCGAGAGAGGGCGCGCACGAGGAGGTCCGTGGGGAGGTCGAGGAGGCGGGCGGGCGGCGGCGTGCTTGGAGAGAGAGCGGTGGAGACGGCGGCGAGGCGGCGCGAGAGGCGGCGCGGCTGGGGTGGACATCGCGAGGAAAAGAATTTTAGAAGGACATCTAGCTCCCCGGTCCTGGGCCGGTGCGGCTAATGACTGCACTCCAAGTGCTCCAAGTGCACTCTCTAGCACGACACTGGGCACGGGACTGGCGCGCACAAAGAATTTTACAACAAAACTCCCAGGAAAAGAATTTTACTCGAGTCAGACCCTGAAGGGCCCCGCACCCAGAGAGAGAATTCTTGATACGAAACCACGACGACACACACCAGTCGACTCGCATCGGTTGCCTCCATGAACGGCGGAGCTATTCTCGCGTCCACACCACACCTGGCTCCAACGTGGACACGCCCATAGCTGGGGACACTACTAGGTCTCTCTCTCTCTCTCTCTCTCCCCGCACCCAGTCGGGGCGGGGCTGAGTGGGGTATGCTACATGGCGGGCGGCGGCGCGGCGGCGCACACCGCACACCGCAGGCTTCACTGCGATGAAATCATCGCCCCGCCTGGGTCTTCGGCGCCCAGTCCGCACCGCTCGTGTGGAAGAGCAGCGCTGTACGTGTGCGTGTTCCCAGTTCGCAAAGTTCCCTGTTAAGAGGTCGATTCGCCGAAGCGAGATAAATGCACGCGAGCGAGGTAGAGCTAGCCCATATTGTGAGCACCAGCATCACAAAGTTTTGGCTTCTTGCTTTTGCTGCCGTTAGCATGTCGCCTCCTGCCAATCAGCGCACAAGGTCAGCCGGCTGGAGTGAGGCAGAGGGGCAGCCGGGAGAGTGGTAGGGATCCCTAGAGCGCAAAAGGCGGCGAGTGAGAGAGCTAGCGCTCGCTGAGGAAAGGGGGGAGAAGGTGCACCCCAGCGACCGACTCAGCGAGTCCGACACGAAGGACGGGGACGTACGAGTTTACGATCAGCGTTCTCGTATATGCACGCATTCCCTGATTCCAATTGACCGCACATTCTCCACTACGAGATTGCACGCATTCTCCCTTCACACACCGAGGGGACCCGGACGCCAGCACACCACACACACTGAGCAGCGAAGAGCGGCTGCGGCTAGCTATAGCAGACAGGCCGTGAGCTAATGCCCCCCGGGCTGGAAAAGATTTGACCACGGCCACGGAATGCACTTTTATGCCATCGTGTTCTTCGTCCTCACGGGCACCATTGGCTTTTACGCGTGCTACTGGTTCGTGTGGAGGATCTTCTCGGCCATCAAGGTGGACTAGGGAGGAGGGGAGAGGGGGAAGAGAGAGAGAGAGAGAGAGAGAGAGAGAGAGAGAGAGAGAGAGAGAGAGAGAGAGAGAGACCGGGCGGCCGTCGGTGGTGCGGCTTGTGGCGAGCAGCGCAGAACCTGCACACGGACTCGCGCCGCCGCAGTGATGTCATGCCTTGCACGGCCCCTGCGGATTATGTGTTTTTGCGCAGCCAGTAGAGCCGAGAATCTGGTTTATGCACACGCCTGCGGCCGCGGCCGGGGGCCGGCGCGCGTGTTCCGCCGTGTGCACTCAACAAAATCTGGAAAACGAAGCTGAAAAAAGCCGTTCTCATCAACAAACAGAAACACATCATCTCGATCGGGGAGAACGGGGAGCGCCGCGGTGAGACTGAGAGGGAGCGCATTCCCCGCCAGTCTCGTTGACGTCGCAGCCCTCCTTCGACACGAGATGCACGCGCTTGGCGTCGCGCGCGTGGAGTGCCTCAAAGAGCTTGGAGGGCGCGGCATTCGGTACCAGGGTGTTAGCGCGCACAGCGCGAGATGAAGAGGCTAGAGTTGTAGAGTCTAGAGAGGGTTGACGAGGAAGAAAACCACGAGTTGACGTATTGACAACGCGAAGACGAATTCAACCCTATTCGGCTCCTTTCACGCAAGGCCGGGGGCTTTATCTTTCAACGTTTGGGCACCGCCCTTCAGCCGTCTTCCCTCAGCCCGCCGCCTTCCCCGCCAAGAGATGCAGGCTTGCAGCTCACTCACGATTCCCCTCTCACTGGCCCGGCGCCCACACCTCGATCTTCTTGGGCAGCAGCTCGTTCGATAGGTCCTCTCCGTGGCCTAGGCAGCCGCTCTCGCCCTTGCCCCACGTGAAGACAGCGCCATCGGCGGTGCGGGCGAGGCTGTGCCGCTCTCCCGCCGACACATCGACGACGCGCTGGCCAGCAAAGGCCTCGATCTTCTTGGGCAGCAGCGGGAGCTGCTCATTGCCGTGGCCCAGCTGGCCCCAGCCTCCATGGCCCCAGCTCCAGACGGCGCTGCTCATTGCCGTGGCCCAGCTGGCCCCAGCCTCCATGGCCTCAGCTCCAGACGGCTCCGTCAGCAGTGAGGGCGAGGCTGTGGCAGCCTCCAGCCGACACAGCCACGACGCGCTGACCAGCCAAGGCCTCGACCTTCTTCGGCAGCAGCTGGTACTGCTCGTCGCCGTGGCCTAGCCTGCCAAAGGTTCCACGGCCCCAGCTCCACACGGCTCCGTCGGCGGTGGTGGCGATGCTGTGCAAATCTCCCGCCGACACAGCGACAACGCGCCGCCCAGCGAAGGCCTCGATCTTCTCGGGCAGCAGCTGCTTCTGCTGGTCGCCGTGGCCGAGCTGGCCAAAGCCTCCCCAGCCCCAACTCCAAACGCTGCCGTCGGCGGTGAGGGCGAGGTTGTGCTGGCCTCCAGCCGACACAGCGAGGACACGCTGGCTATCAAACGCCTCGACCTTCTTGGGCTGCAGCTGCTGCTGCCAGTCGTCGTGGCCCAACCGGCCAAAGCCTCCATAGCCCCAACTCCAAACGCTGCCGTCGGCGGTGAGGGCGAGGCTGTGCTGGCCTCCAGCCGCCACAGCGACGACGCGCTGGTCAGCAAAGGCCTCGATCTTGTTCGGCAGCAGCCGCTCCTGCTCATCGCCGTGGCCCAACTTGCCAGAGGCTCCACCGCCCCAGCTCCAGGCAGCGCCGTCGGCGGTGAGGGCAAGGCTGTGGCAGCCTCCAGCCGACACGCTCACGGCGCGCTCACCGCCCAGCGGGGAAGGGAGGCGGGTCGGCGTGTTGAGCTGCGCCACGCCCTCGCCGTGACCGAGCAGCCCTGGCATGCTGTTCTCAGCCCTTCCGCACGACGAGAGCCGCCCCTCGCCGTCAATGAAGAGGCTGTGCTGAAGGCCTGCCGCAGCACTCACCGGCGGGTTGGACTCGCACAGCAACGCAGCGAAGCACAGCCACCGCACGGCGCAGCTCTCGCCCTCTGGCTGCGCCGGCAGCTCGAAGCCGCGCTCTTGCGCCCACAAGCGGATGCCCTCCAGCGCCAGCGAGGCGTGGAAGAGCATCGAGACGGCCGCGACGCGAGCGATGTCGGCGGGGCTGTTGCAGCGAGAGAGGGCGCGCACGAGGAGGTCCGTGGGGAGGTCGAGGAGGCGGGCGGGCGGCGGCGTGCTTGGAGAGAGAGCGGTGGAGACGGCGGCGAGGCGGCGCGAGAGGCGGCGCGGCTGGGGTGGACATCGCGAGGAAAAGAATTTTAGAAGCGCGTCTAGCTCCCCGGTCCTGGGCCGGTGCGGCTAATGACTGCACTCCAAGTGCTCCAAGTGCACTCTCTAGCACGACACTGGGCACGGGACTGGCGCGCACAGGAAAAGAATTTTACAACCACTGGAGTCAGGCCCTTGAAGGGCCCCGCCCCCAGTGGGGGCGGGGCTGAGTGGGGTATGCTATATGGCGGGCGGCGGCGCGGCGGCGCACACCGCAGGCTCTCCAGGCAGTGCGCCCACCACGACGTCGTCAAGGCCTCACAATGGAGGCATCACGTCTCCATTGCGCCCGTCAAGTCGGAGGACGGAGCCAGTCTGCGGCGACCACAGCGCTCACCGCAGGGATCGGCGAGCTTTTCAGAGTCAAGCGATTGCGCCTGGATTGCGCGAGAAATCGGCGCTGTCTACCCCCTATTGGTGGCCGCCTTCTCGCGCGAGATTCGCCGAGGTTTGGCCGAGGTGTCGAGGGTGGGTCGTCGCGCTGTCCGCCACGCGCCAGTCCGCGCGCGCCTTCTTGCCGCGCAGCTCAGCAAAGGTGTCAAAATGATACCAAAGACGACTCAATCCGATCAATGGGTCAGCTCACGCCACGAACCAGTCTAGCTGCGCGTCCCAGTCGCGCACCGACGTCCGCACCTTCTCCCGCGCCTTCTCCTTGCCAAAGGCAAAGAGGCGCACGACGCCGTGCCGTCCGCCGGGCTCCTCGGCGGCCGCCTTGCGCTTGGTGAGCCGGCGCCACCCCTCGGGCGGCGGTGCGCCTGGCTTCCAGGACACCGCCAGCACGTCCGACGCGCCGGCGGCGCGAAGCTCCTTCTCCCAAGCGCCGAGGGTGTGTCCGGTGGACCACACCTGGGGTGGGGCAGGGTGTGGGTCACTCGCTTGCCCACAGGCGAGGGGAAACGGCCACGCGCTGTCCCCCCAAACATCTTCCGTCGGGCAGTGCAGGAGCCGCGCGGCATTTCAAGTGCAAGGCGAAGGGTGGCCGGTGGGCCGCACCTGCAGCTGCGTCGCGCCCGCCCCCGGGCCGCGCATCACAAAGTGCGCCTTGACGCGCCGCAAACTGTCGAGCGAGAGGCGGCCGTGCGTGCGCGTGTGCTGCCGCGGGTGCTGCCGCCAGCCGAAGAGCGGATCGCCGCCGAGCTTGCCTGTCACACCATGAACGCGTGACGGACGTGGGCCTGGGCGTGTCCAGCCCGTGGCCCCGATCGAGCGCGCCACAGCGCTTGCCGCAGTGGAAGAAAGCCAGCCACCACCACAAGTCCACCGGCGTGTCGAGCTCGTCGCCCGCCGCCTCGCCCGCCGCCTCGCCCGCCGCCTCGCCCGCCGCCTCGCCCGCCGCCTCGCCCGCCGCCGCCGCCGACGGCGCCGCCACCGCCACCGCTGCCGCTGCCAACACTGCCGCCGGCGGCGGCGAAGCTGCGCTGCCCACCACCTCAGCTCCTCGCACTCCGCCTCCGCCGCCGCCGCCGCCGCCTCCGCCGCCGCCTCCGCCTCCGCCTCCGCCGCCGCTGCCGCCGCTGCCGGCGGCGGCGGCGGCGGCGGCGGGCGCCTCCCAATGCCGGCGTGGGCCGTCGCGGTATCGGCCGCCCGACGTGGCGAGCACCTTTTTCGACGGGCACCACCGAGATTACCCGAGATCACCCGAGATTGCCCGAGAGTAGGCGCAGTGGCGAGCACCTCCTCGACGGCCTCGCGCCGGAAGATTGCCGTCTGGTGGAGCGCCTAATCTCGGTGAACCTCGGTGAACCTCGGGTCATCTCGGGTCAACGAGGTGGTGCCCGTCTGGTGGAGCGCCGGGATCTCGACGAACCGCCCCGCCGCCATCTGCTCGGGCGAGAGGAGAGAGTTTTGCCTGCGTCATGACCGCACGACCCAAGGTCAGGGTCGCAGCGGCGCCGCAAGCGCCCGCCCCGGCGGTTCACTCGCAGGTCGGAGAAGAAGGGACGGTGCAACAAGGTACGGTGCCGTGTCGTCAGGGCACCGCGTGGATGGAAGGGCTGCGAGTACAGGGACTGAGGCGGAGCACGGTCGAGTTGGCCTCTCGAATGCTAGTCGGCATACAAGCAGTCTGTATCCGCATCTCGGGGGCCTTGCCACGCGACGTACTGCTCCATGCCCGGCCTCGGCCACCCAACCAGCTCTGCCTGGCAGCTGACGGCATCCCACGTAGGCTGGGCCTGCAGCGCGGCCAGCATCCGCGCGAACGCGTCCGCCGGCCGCCGCTCGTCGTCCGACTCCATCTGCGCGAGGAGAGGCGCGCGGGCATGCGCCAGCGCGAGCGACATGGCGGCGCCTTGCCCGCGGTTGGCACCGTCGCGGTAGCGCAGCACGCGCAGCCGGTGCTCGGGGCGGCTCGCGGCGGCGACCTCAGCCGCGCTCAGCGGCCGCTGGTCCACTCCCGGCTGCGCCGCGTCGAACGACGGGTGGTCCTCCGTCTCGGGCGCTCGCAGCGGCTGCAGCAGCGCGGGGTTCGAGGCGGGCGCGGCGCCGCCAGCGGTGGAGAGCTCGTCGGTCGCGCGCGCGCCGAGCTCGTTGGCGAGGGCGAGGAGGAAGCCGAGCGAGCCGTCGTCGCCGCCGTCAAAGGCTGCGAGGACCTCGAGGCTCGCACCGCCAGGAAGCTGCTGCTTGAGCATGTCCCGAAGCGCGACCGTCAGCCACGGCATCGCATTGTACACCGGGAGGATGACGCTCAGCGCGACTCGTGTGGGTTCGGAACTCATATGTGTACACCCGCATATTGTAGGGAGGCAGAAAGAAAGAAAGAAAGAAAACAGACACGCCAAACGAGGGATGGGACGAGGACAGGGTCCCCACCTGCACGAGGCACGAGCAGGATTTTGGAAGGACGATCAGGGGGACAGGTGGGGCTCTCCTGCTCCTGACACGGGACACGACAGGCTCGCAGCGCGGTGCGCGGTGGACTCCCACATCCACTGGCGGTCTCATCTCAGTCTAGCGACCTGCCTCCAGCTTGTCGCTGGCAGTCTCTCCTACCACAGGCACACTGACACAGGGGTGGCAGGGGCGGCGGCACGAGTCTCCCACATACTATGCGGGCCTCACTAGAGGTGCGGCCTGTGCGTGTCCTCGCCCTTGAGGGGGGAGGGGAAGGGGCTGTGTGTCTGTGCATGTGTGTGTGTGTGTGTGTGTGTGTGTGTGTGTGTGTGTGTGTGTGTGTGTGCGTGTGCGTGTGCGAGCCGCCCTGAACGCCACGAGCGCGCCGCGAGCGCCGTAGCGCCGGCGAGCGCCGTCGGCAGCGCGCGACCGCCACCCAAAAGCGGAGGTACATCAGGAGCCGCAGCCGGCCTGCTCTATCAGCCCCGCAGCCGCGGTGGCGCGACCGGACCGCGGTCGCTCCAGGCGCCTTTTGGCCCCGGTTCGAATCGCGGTTGGCGCGCGCCCTCGCGGAGCGACGCGTGGCGCGCGACGCGCGCGCGTGCGCGTGCGCGCCCAGCCGAGCCCTAGGCCGTATGCCGTCTGCCGTCTGCCGTCGGCCGTCGGCCGTCGGCCGTCGGCCGTCGGCCGTCGGCCGCCGCCGCCGCCGTAGCGGCGGCGAGCGCTCGCCTTTTGCGCGACGCGCAGTGTGGACGCGCGCCGCCCAGCGCCGGACGTGCCGGAGCCGGTCCGGCGCGCGCGCGGGCGGCCAGCGCCTGTAAACAGACAGCTGCCGCCCACACGTTCAAATTGTTTGTAGGGAGGCACTTATCCGCCATGGCACCGCGTTGAATTCTTTTGGCTTGCGCGTCGTACGTACGCGTACCCATCCGGAGCTGGTAGCGAACCGACGCTGCTTGACCTGCCAGCGTCGGTTCGCTCTCGTCACGGTCGGGCGTGCGAGGCTCCTGTGCCTCCGGTGACGCCGATTTCCGCCTCACTCAACGGCGCTCTCTCTCATGCACGGCAGCTGTGGATCACCCAGGCGCACGTGTCGGTGCAGACGTACACGATCTTTTGTTCGGACGAGGGTATCCGGCCAGAAAAGCGCTCTTCGGAAACAAACTGAGGAGATTGATACTACTCGAGTATGATACCATCCACGTCTCGGCTTTCTGTCTGTGCGCGCCGCCCCGCAGATTCGACAGGTTGGAGGCAGGTCTCTCAGTCTTGGCTTGTATGTACACGCGTGGTAGGGCCGTCTGTCTACTTTCGTAGATGTCTTTGTTTCCGTTTCGGCGTTTGGCAGGTCGAGCGAGGCAGGGACAGGTCTAGGCTGCGGCAGACTCAGCCCTCCCTCGGAGAAACAGAGCCCCGCCCGAGACCCGAGAGAGAGATTTTCACATTTCAGGGTGTTGTGCCACCCGCCGGCCTTGCGCCTTTCTTCCGGAGCGGGGCGGCCGGCTGTAGAATGGCGGCACAACGGCGCGACCCCCTGCTTCAGCCTTCACCTCCAGTTGCTCCAACCAGATCAGGCCTCGCTCTCCCGCCGAATCGCGAACATGTGCCATCAAGGCATGCGTCGAGGGTGTGCGACGAACACGTGAAGGCGGCGCCGTACAGCACCCCCCTCTTTAACAAAGTCCGTGAGAGCCGCGTGTAGGTGTACATTAGCAACCTCGCGACTAGCCGCTCGAATCTCTTTCATGTGGCGGAACGTAGTCTGGCAAGCGACACATCCCCGCGGACGCGACCCGCGCGCACCTCCACCCCCCTCAGAAACAGAAAAAAGAAAGCCACGGGCGGGGGTCAAATCACACACACCCCCGACAGTCAGTGCAACACAACACGCCGACAAGAGTCTTGTGGCGCACTGTCCCCCCACGATCCCGCCAGTGCGGGACAGTACAGTTCCCGCAGCGCGGCCGTCCCGCGCCTCGAGCTCGAGTCACGCCCGAGCAGCGCTGCGTCTCTCCGCCCCGCCCCCAGCCCCTCCCCCACCTCAAATGCGCCACCGCCCACCCCACGTACGGCTGTGTGAGCAGCTCCCGGCGGGACCTCGAGGGACCGCACGCGCGCCCGCGGCGCGGGGCCCACAGCCACGATCGCTCACAAGAGGACGCGCCCCACAGTAAGAGAGACCCTTCCCCATGGCTGCCACTGCGCCAGCTGTCCTTGCGCGCGGGCTAGGCCGCCTCCCGCGCCCTGGCCCTCGCAGCGGCACCTGACGCGCGCCTCGCCTTGGCTGCGGCGAGCGCCACCTCTGCCGCCGCTACTGCCGCCTCCTCCGCCTCCTCCTCCGCTGCGGCATCCTCCTCCTCTTCTGCCGCTGCCACGGCCGCAGCCTCCACCGCAGCCTGCCGGCGCGCCTCCGCTGCCGCCTCCACTGCCGCCTCCTCGCCCTCCTCGGCCGCCTCCTCGCCCCCCCCCTCGCCCTCCTCCTCCCCACCCTCCTCCTCGGCCGCCTCCGCCGTCTCCTCGTCGCCCTCCTCCTCGCTCGCCTCGCCCGCCGCCTCTCCCAGCGCCTCCGCCAACCCCTCGACCGACGTCTCCGGCGTGATGCCGAACCGGATCCTGTCCTCGTGGAGCTCCGCGAGAAGCTTGAGCAGCCCCTCCCTGTCCAACGGCGCGGGCTTGGCTGCGGCTGCCTCTGCCGGCGCGTCAGACTCCTGTGACGGCCCAGCGCCGCCGCTCCCGCCGCCCTTCTTCTTCTTCTTCTTCTTGCCCTTCTTGCCCTTGGCGCGCTTCTCCGCCTCGACCTCCGCCAGCAGCTCCTCGGCGTGCCGCGCCGCCTCCTTCTCCTCCGCCGCCCTCTGCGCCTCCCTCTCCCCCGCGCCCGCAGCCCACACCGCCTCTTTCGCCGCCTTCTCGGCCGCCACCTTGGCCGCCGCATGCTCCTCGAGGGCGCGCACGCACTCGGCGTGGCCCTTCGCCTTGGCACATTGCAGCGCGGTCTTGCCGCTGCTATTGCACAGCTTCATGCCTGCGCCCGCCCGCAGCAAGCGAAGCACCATGGCGGGATGGCCGTAGTGCGCGGCGGCCATCAGTGCGGTGTCGCCCTTGATGGCCTGCATGTCGATCTCTGCGCCAAGCCGGATCAGCGTGTCGACCACCCGCTCGCGGCCTTTCGCGGCGGCCTGCATCAGCGCAGTGCCGCCGGTCGAGCGGCTTCTCTGATTGACCTCTGCGCCGTGCCGCAGTGCCAGCTCGACCAAGTTCTCGTGGCCGTTCGCGGCGGCGAGGCACAGCGCGGTGCTGCCACCGCATCTGGTCTGCAACGAGACATCCGCACCGCGCCGCAGAAGCGCCTCGGCCAGCCCCGCGTGGCCACAAGTCATTGCGACCATCAGCAGCGTCATGCCGCTCGCACGAGAGCCGCAACCAAAGGCGTACTCGAACGTCGCTTCGACCCGCCCGCCGCCGTCGAGCCACGCCAGCACCGGAAATCCGTCGCCTCGCTCAGCCGCAAGCACAACCTCCTTTGGCACCGCCCCGCCGCTCGGCTCGGCCTCTGCGCCGCCCTCGCCGATCAAAGCAGAGGCCACGGCACTGGCGCCCGCCGCCGCCTCGCCTGCGGGTGCGCCTCTCGTCCCCGCGCCACCCGCCTCGACCGCCGCCGCCTTGCTCCGAGCTGCCGCCACCTCCCCGAGATACGTCCTGAAAGCCTCGACGCACTCGCCGTGGCCCTTCTCGTTGGCGATCTGCAGCGCCGTCTTGCCCTCCGCAGTGCACAGCGTCATGTCCGCGCCTGTGCGCAGCAAGCGAAGCACGACGGCGGGATGGTTGCTGCTGGCGGCGAGCATCAGCGCGGTGCAGCCGTTGTTGGCCTGCAGGTTGATCTCCGCGCCGTGCTGAAGCAGCAGCTCGGCCACACGCTCGTGGCCCTTGGCGGCGACGGCCATCAGCGCGGTGACGCCGAGCTTGCGGTCCTGCAGATTGACCTCCACGCCGTGCCGCAGCATCATCTCGACCACCTGCTCGTAGCCGCTGCCGGCGGCGAGCATCAGCGCGGTGACGCCGTGCTTGCGGTCCTGCAGGTTGATCCCTGCGCCGTGCCGCAGCAGCATCTCGGCCACCTGCTCGTAGCCCCAGCGGGCGGCGGCCATCAGCGCCGTGCAGTCGCGGCCATCGCGCGCGTCCGCCTCCGCGCCGCGCTTCAGCAGCAGTTCGACCAGCTGCTTGTGTCCGTGGGCGGCGGCGATCAGCAGGAGCGTACGGCCACTCACACCGCGATTCACGCACGTCGCGTCAACCCGCCCGTCCCCGGTGAGCCACGTCTGCACCACGCCAACCTTGCCGTTCTCCGCCGCCGCCTCGATCCTTTTCGGCAGCGCGAGCGGCGCGGCAGTAGCCGCCGATGAAGCGTGCCCGCGCTGGGAGGCGGCCGAGCCAGCCTTCGTTCGGCCGGGCATGCAAACGGGCGGGGTTGCGGGTGCTGAGCCCTCTCTTCTCGGCGGGAAGGGCCCCTGGTGGAATTCGCCGTCGTCTTTTTCTCTTTCTGTGTGTTGCTGTGAAGCACCCGCACCCGGTCTCAATGCTCGAGCTCGGCTCAGCGGTCGACATCGTCCTCTCCTCGGTCGAGGGCGAGTGCCGCGCGCTGCGGCTCGCCTCCGAGTGCTCCGCCCTCCAGTCGCGGGTGGTATAGCCATAATGGATATGTCGGGGGAGGGTACGTGCCTGATTTCGGCGCCAAAGTAAGTCTTGGCAATCGCAAACGTTTTTTTGCGTTCAGAGCTGTCAGAGCGGATAGAAAGAAAACAAGGGTCACCTTCATCCCCGCCGCCTCCTCCAACCTGGCGGGGGCGGGGCGGGGGGGCGGGGGGCGGGGGGGGGGGGGGGGAAACGGGTCCCCCGGGCCCCCGGGGGGGGGGGGGGGGGGGGTATTTCCGAAATTTCCCTCTTCGCCGGGGGGCCTTTTGTCCTTTTTTAAAAAGGGGGGGGGGG